GCCGGAGCAAGCCTGGCCATGTGGGGACCCAAACGCCAGGTGGCAGCTCCCTGACAGCCGAGGGGGCCCCCTCGGATACCTGTCAGATGTGCGCCACTGGCGACCACCTTGGAAAGCAGCCAGGCCTGGAATCAGCATTTCTCCTCCTGCTGCTCGGCTTACAAAGCCCTGGGCCACGCCGCGCTGGTTTAGTAGCCAACTTTCCGGTTTCTTTTCAGCTTCTTAAGATGAGCCCAGAGCAGAGAGTGACGCCCCCTTGTCCACCTGCATCTCTGGCCCGCGGCTGAGGTTTGCCCAGGAGAACGCCCGCAGACAGCCGGGGCGTCGCCCTCGCCTGCGCTGGAAGCGTCTTCCAGTGTTCAGCGCGCTCTGGTCTCCTGGTGATGGCCCACAGCGGGCCCCCTCCGCGCCCCGACTGTCCGTGTCTCCAGGCCACCCCGGCCTGGCCTGAGCCTCTTGCAGTGGGATTCAGTCCCACGAGCTGCCGTGGGCTGCAGGGTTACCCGTCGCCCTCCCACGGCCCCGGCCCGGCGGGCCCATCTCCTCCTCCCACTCAGGTTGGAATCCACACACCCTGACTGCGTGCACGCGGACAAGGTCTCCTCTGGTGTAAAGAGGACAGTGGCTTAATGTGGAGATAGCTGTGTGGCTCTCGTGCACCTGAGCAGTGTGAGCCTTCCGCTGCCATGTCACTGTGATAATGTCAATTTACAAAATGTTCAGGGGCCTCCCCCGTGGTGCAGTGGTTGAGTGCTGGGCTGCGAAGCTGCCCGCAGCCTCTGCAGTGCCGGTTCCATCCCCAGCCCGGTGAGGGTCCCACATGGCGCGCAGACCTCTCCTGCCGCCTGCCGCTCCCCTCAGCAGTGTCCTTCGGTCCTTCTGCCTGCTCTGCTCCCCGCTCTGGCTCTGGTGAATTCTCTCACCCTCCCGCGCTTCTGACTGTACCCAGTGCTTATATGTATAAATAAATAAATAAATCTTTAAAAAAATTTTTTTTAAAGCCCTTCTCAGTGGTGGTTGTCACAATTAAATGATTAATAATTAATGGTTACGTGCTAGTGAGGCTGGCAGGGACCGCGCGAGCTGGGTAACCCCCAGGACGCTTGCAGCGGACCCGCCCGAGACTTGTGGACACAAGACTGTCCCTCCGCCTGCTCCGGGCAGCACGCAGGGCTTCGGCAGTGCTGACCACAGGGGCTCTGGCTGAGCCGGGCTTTAAGAGCTGCAGTGTTTTCTGGGAATAGCCTTTGTCTTGAGGTGTCTTCCTATCTTGTTTCCATCTTCTGCTCTGTTGTAGCGCGTGACCGTTGTGCAAAACGGCTGAGAGGCGGGAGAGTGAGAGAGACGCAGGACGGCCGGGCTGGAGGTGGGCCCGGGCTGGGGAGGCAGGTCTCACCAGCTGGGTGGGGCACTCCAAGGCCGATCTGCGTGTTTGGGCCGGTGCTGTGATGCAGACCCTCCCGGTGACCGCACAACCACTGAAGACCTGTGGGTGCGGGATAGGCAGTCACCAGCGGGCAAGAGAGGGGCATTCTTGGGAAGCAGCTCATTTCTTCCCGGTAAGTCACGCCGCCGGTGACTGACGTCCTCCCTGGGCACCATTCAGGAGGCTGAGCTCTGGTGGGCGAGGAAACTCCGTGTCGTCCACGCCAGTCCATGTGCACTTGCTAGCTGGGCTGTAGAGACCTGATTTAAAGGATGCCTGCAGCCTTGCAAAAGGAAAATCGAGGCACAGGAGTGTTCACGCCCCTGCTGTCCACCCCCTCCCCAGGGCAGGCACCCTCCCGGCCGGCCTCTCGGGGTCCTCACACAGGCAGCACCCAGTGCCTGCAGGCGCTGTGAGAATGACTCAGCATGAGCTGGACTAACTGTATATCTGCAACTGGATACTTCTTCTAAGTTATTATGTAGCCTGAGAGAGAACATTATTTAAACACATACTATATGTCATATGTCAACATAAACTTTGGCTGAAAGCTAAAAAAAAAAAATCCCAAGAATTTATGAAAGAACAGGAAAAAAGTTAAAAAGTGTTTTTCACCACTTTGAGAAAGGTTTCCAGATAAGAAATGAAATGATGGGTTGGTTCTCCCTGGAGGTGCAGGGGTGAAGTCTCAGCGCTATGAAGCTGTTCGCAGCCACTGCAGCACGAGTTCGATCCCTGGCCAGGGAGCAACCCACACGGCGCAGCAGACCTCTCCTGTCTCCCGCTGCTCCCCTCAGCAGTGTTTCAGTCAGTCTGCCTGTTCTGCTCCCCGCTCTGTCTCTGGGGAATCCTCTCACCTCCTGCATCTCTGGCCTGTCCCCAGCTCTTGTGTGCATAAAATAAATTTAAAAAAATCTTTAAAAAAAGATTGAAGAACGGTCACGCGCTACAACAAACGATGGAAGAAGTGGTTGAAAGACTTTTTGGAATAAGAATGCTGTTCATTTAAAAGATGAAAAGCAACAGGAATTTAAAAAATAATAGGGAATAGCTGTCACCTCCCATTTGTATCAAATAAACCAGATAATGGTGAAAACCTGTAATAAGTAAAATTGCTCAGAGAGGCAATAATATTGTAAAGACCACAATGCATGAAAGAGTCCAGGATATGAATAGAAATTCACAATAGAATATAAATAGTAAAATGAAAAAGTCCATCTTCCTTGGAATCAAAGAAATGCAAATTCCTTTGCAGTAAGACCTGCGCCCTTTTATCCCCGTTAGACGGTTTTCAGGTTTCCGAGGCCTGCGCTGGGCTCTGCGGGGCCTGCGGTGTCGGGCGAGTGTCAGCGGTGCGGGGGCCTCCTCGGAGGGAGCCTTTGCTAGGGCTTTAGCACCCTGGCTTTTCACTCAGCTGCTCACTTACTCGAGAAGTGCAGGGGGAGCTCCCGCATCGTTGTCTCCCTGACCTGTGCTCAAGCCATTTGTCACTGCCACGGGGCCCGGAGGGCCCTCCCCGGGCTGTTCTCCTTCCGCGTGCATGTGGCGCCCAGGGGACCTGGCGCTCTGCCGCTGGGAGGAAGCCCCTCGCCATGTCCCCCCCAGTGCTATGCCAGGCGCTGGGCTCAAATCACCCCATGCCAGTGGCAACCAGACCTATTTTCCTCTCAACAAGTCATGTCATGTTTCCAAGTTCCCAGAATCTACTAATTAAAGGTTCTTTATTGGACAATTGTTTATTGGCTTAATTATTGTGCATTTATTGGACATGATAAAATTGTACTCCTTGAACACTCGATCATTCATGTTTGGGACGTATTGCAGTCTAGGACCCAATCAACGGTTCATCTCTGCTCAGGTGCGGGGGGCTTGTGATGAGCTCAGGGGGCAAAAGGGCATCTGCTTGGGCCTCCTGGATGCTCGGGCCTCCTGGATAAGAGGACTGCTGCCTCCAGGGCAGCAGTGGGTGTGGAAGGGGCCGGAGGGGCGTGTGGGGCATTCTTAACCCCTGACACCTGTAGAAGGAGCAAGGAAGGGCAAGCACTGGGGGTCCTGAAGCAGAGCTGCCTGGAGGAGGAGCCTGGCCTGAACTCCTGAGTGACCCCAGGGGGCAGCATGGGTGACAAGGCTTTGCAGGCCGAGGACAATAGACAGAGGGACGTCAAATCTAATTTCAATGAATTTAATATTTTAGGAAATATTTTCCCGGGATCATGTGGCCAGACCCTCGTCCTGTGCTTGCCTGGCGCTTACAATAACGTTAGCACAAAACACCTGGTCACTCACTGGTCAACGGTTCTCCGCTTCCCACGCATTATTTGCGTAGTTCCCCGTGCCCCGTGTGGGTTCGAGAACTTTGCTCTGTCCCGCAGTTCCCTCCCCGAGAGGAGGTCACAGCTCACTCGGACTGAGAGAGTGTTGTCCTGCGTCCTGTCGCCTTGGAAAGGGCAAGTTGGACTCTAACCTCTGCGATGTCAAGGATTCACTGCGAGGCGATAGCCACGAGTGGGCCTTGCGTGGACGTGTCCATGTTGAGCCTGAACTGAGTTTCTTTCATTTTTCTAAGCAATTGAAACTTCCACTCCACTTCACACACTGTAAGCACTGAAACATGATTTTTGTGATGGCTTGTTCAGAAACAAGAGGGGTTTCTCATGGAATAAATGGGGTGCATGCAGCTCCCTCTGTCTTACTTTGGGGCACGTGCAGGCCGTCTCTGCCAGCTCCTAGTGCTTGTCCCACTGTCGCCAGCTGATGGTTGATGGAGAGCCCCCTATGTTTCAAGTGGACACTGAGTGCTTTCTCTGAATAGATCATCACGGCAGCGTAGAAAGGGGAATGACGCCCCCATGAAGACACCCCGAGCCCCAGGAACTACCTGCTATGGCTTTTTCCAGTTGAAATGGCCTCATGTGTGGCAAATCACTTCAGCCCTAGTGAAGAACAACAGAGTATCGTAAACAGGTGAGAAATGTCCGCACCCACTCAGACATGAATCCAAAAACGAACAGAACACACGAGGAAATGGGTCAGCCAGCCCCACGCCGAGGCTCCTTTCTCCAAGTCCTGGCTTCCAGCCGTTCCCCTCGCCGTGGCCGAGCAGATACGAGACTCCAACTGTCTTTCACTCAGCCAGGCAGTTAAGAGATTTTTTAAAAAGTCAAACAATGCCTCTCTGAGCAGGAAATAGTTCTGTCTTCGGGGAGAAAAGGGTGCAGGACTGTGCCTGGCAGCGCAGGGACGGGCGCCCACGGGCGGAGCCACCTGCCTGCCACTGCCGTGTCCGCCTGGCTCGTGCCTTCCCGCTGCACAGTGGAGGCGGCAGGAGCCCCTTTTGTGGCTTTCTTGTGTAAAGTGTCGCGGGACCCCTGGCCGGGTGAGCCTCTGCCGTCAGCTCGGCGCAAGGAAATAATGGTTTTCTCCAGTAAAAACAGTTTGCAAAATGGAAGGCGTCTCTGGCCTTGCAGTTCGTGTGTCTGACAAGACAGTCCCTCCTTTCCCGGGGGAGTCTCGCTGCTGATCTTGACGTGTGGCCATCGTCAACGGTCCCCCCCTTACCCCCCCTTCTGCCCCCCAGCACGCGGGCCACAGCCCCGAGTCGTCTCCAGGAACACAGAGAGTGGCAGCTCCACGGAAAAAATGTGCCATTCTCTTCCTGGAAAGAAAACGAAACAGGTATTTTCATGTATTATCCTTTTGCTTCTAAAAATAGGCTGGGAGGACATGTCCTGTGCCTCTGGAACGCTCCGCAGAACACGTGGTGCCCGGGAAGCTGGCCCGTCACTGCTCCCGCGGGCGCCTCTCCGCGGGCTGTTACAGCGTCACCCGCCAGGGCCCCCGGGGCCCGCGAGGCTAGTTAAGAATTCATCCAGAAAAGCCTGTGCCCAGGAGGCGGCCACCTCTGCAGGGGCCCTAGGCGAGGGTGCGCTGGCCGGGAGAGGCGCCGGGACACTGTGCTCCTGCCGCCCTGGTGCAGGCCCGGCCCGGCCCGGCAAGTCCCGCCGCCCGGAGCAGGCGGCCGGGGGCCGAGGGTAGCCAGACGCAGAGGTGCGGGCGCCGAGTTAGGGCTCAGGGCCCGCAGGGCAGGGTCAGTCCCGGGGGTCAGCTGCCAGGGAACCCCCGGCCGGCACATGGGCTGGAATGCAGCCACGTGAGCAGGCGCCTCGGCAGCCTCTGTGGTGGGCAGCAGAGGCCCAGCCTCCTGGACGCAGCGCGTGGGGACGCCGGCGGCCCGCGAGGCCGGCAAGCAGGTGAATTCAGGACTCCGCTGCCCTTTATTTTAACATGGCAGGAAGAGGGAGCAGGGCGGAATCACACACTGGCAGGGAAAGACGTGAGTTCAGAATGGAGACGCTACAATTCATTGCAAGCAGCTGCCACAGACGCCAGAAACATCAGCGACGTGTTCCTGGCGTAAATCACGGGGCTCGTGGCTTTAATTTCATAAAAGTGGCAGGAACTACCTGCCCCTCCCCCAAGCTTGTTACTCAAAGGACCTGAGCGGGCAGTTTCCGTGGACACCGCGGAGGGGGCGCCCCGACCCGCTCCCTCCCCATGACGCGGCCCTGGAGAGGAGCCTGTCAGGTTGGCAAGGACTGACGCGTGGACACGAGCCAGGGCCCACGGCCCAGGGTGGGCTCCCCTACAACGAGGGGTGGCAGTGGGTGAGTGAGGCTGGGGGCAGTGAGTGGTCAGGAGGGGGGCAGTGACGGCAGGGTCTGCGTCCACCTACCAGCTTCACGTCAGAACGTCTTTCCCAGCACATCCCACCTGCCCAAGGCCTGCCCAGGCCTCCCCTCGTCGCAGCGATGGAGACCCTGAGAGAGGACTGGACACGCGCTCGGGCTCCGCGATGGGGCGGTGCGCTGAAGGGCGCCGTGGCTCCCTGCTACTGGACACTGGCCGCACGGCAGCCTTGGGGCTGTGCCCGAGTCCTGGAACGTTGGCCGCGACGTGCAATTTCAGCGACCAGGTCATCCCGCAGTGACTCGCGCCCAACCTCGAGGAGGAGGAGGAGACAGGCCCATCGCAGGAGACACAGGTGTCGGGACACATCCTGCGTTGTCCCTGAGTCCTGCGTCCTGGTGAGATACGTGACGCCGCACGGCACACGCCAGCGGTGGGGACGCAGACGGGGCCCCTGTCTGAGGCTTAGCAGCATCTGTTGGAATGAATGGAAAGGAGCTGTAACAGGGGGTTCCCCAGGAAAGGGGGAGGTTCCCTGCCCCACCCAAGGGAGGGTGGAGCTGAGCAGGAAGAGGAGAAGCTGCAGAAGAGACTGAGGAAGGAAGCAGGATGGAGCCAGGAGACCTGGAGGAGGCGCATGGAGCCTAGAGACACGTGAAGAAACTGTGCTTGTCTTTTGGTCGTGGACTGGGTGACACAGATGTGGGTGAGACCCGTGGGGAGGCGACCATGGCAGCTTTTATCTGGATGTTGATTTTGCTCTTTTCCTTCGGGGCTTGTCTGGTTGTTTCTGACCCTTTTCTGTGGGTCCCCACTGGAAGATGCTTTAGACTTGTGGCAGGCTTTGGGGCCTTGCTCTGGGCCGACCCCATATGGATGGACTTTTACCCATGAGGGGACGGGTCACTTTGGGTGCTTGATTTAGAAACTAGACTCTTTGCCTTTCCTGTATTGTTTCCTAGTTGTATTAAAGTTCCTTCCCATTCAAGTCTCCTATGTTTTGTGTTGATGCGGCGGATGGCAGAACCCTACATAGAATAGGCAGGTTTGCGGGGTTTGGGCTGCCCCTCTCCCTGTCCTATAACAGAGCCCCAAGCCACCCTCCTGTGTCTCGGTGGCATCTGTGTGTCCTGGTGTGTGTGGGGGTCTGTGGTGTGATGGGACCTCCCTACAGTGATGGAAACAGATTAAAAGACTTTCAAATGGGGCCTCCCTCATGGCACAAGGGGTTAAAACGCAGCCTATGAAGCTGTCCGCAGCCTCTGGAGAGTTCGATCCCTGGCCAGGGAGCTACCCACATGGTGCAGCAGACCTCTCCTGTCTCCCGGCTGCTCCCCTCAGCAGTGGATTTCAGTAGATCTGCCAGTTCTGTTCCCCACTCTGTCTCTGGGGAGTCCAATCACCACCCCCCACACCCCTCTGGTCTGCACCCCAGTGCTTGCATGCATAAATAAATAAATCTTTAAAACAAAAAATAAAAGACTTTCAATGTTCGATTCTTCTGTGGAGGCCAGAGGTAGGCAGAGGGACACCTTCGAGGGCCATCTGAACACAAAACACCAGCAGAAAATCAATCCAACAGGTAAGATGTTTCTCCTCCCCCCAAAGTCAAAAAGGGCCACTGAGTGTGCACCACACAAGGAAACCCCCTCTAGTCGTTTACAGCATCACCTGGTATAGATAAAACTATGTGGGAAACGACAGCAGAAAACTGAGGCCCCTGGGAGCAGGAAGGAGCAGCCTGGCGCCCCCACGTGCCCGAGCCCACCCAAGCCAGGCCCTCCCGGGACGAAGCGTCTGTCTACGCAGGCGCAGGAGCACGCGAGTGAGGAAGGCCGGTGGTGTGTCTGTCCACGGATGCCTGTTTGGAGGTGCCTGGCATGCTTAGGTCAGGGCAGCCAAAGCCCAGGACGCTTAGCTCACTGCCCAAGCAGGCCACTCGGCCGCCGCAGACCCTCAGCACACGGCCCTGGTCTCGCCTCCGAGCCCACCCAGCCTCACGGGCTCTGCCCACGGGGTGTCCCCAGCACGGGCCACACAACGCTCCGTCCTCCCGTGACCTGTGGCGGGTTATGGGGACTCCGCTTCCAGCAGAGAAAGGCTGCGAGTGTCCCCAAGGGGTCCTGGAAGGCTTCCCGTCGGAAGTGGCTCCTGGAAGTTTTGGTGGAAGCCTGGGTTTCCGACTGTTCCGGTGACTGTGAGCTCCCAGTAAGTGGAGCTTCTCAGTAAGCTCATTTATTTTACTGAATCCAGCAGGATTCAGCGCCTGTTGTTTGCAAACAAGGTCTCTAACCAGCAGCTGTCTCTAAGGAAGACCCTCCTGATCTCTGCTCATGGCCCCCTCCGTCCCGGAGGCCTCCCCCCACGCTCAGCCCCCCGGAACGGCGGGCAGCGTGTGTTTGCTAAGCACTGATGCTTCGTATTTAATAAGCATCCTAATATATATTTATACGCTAACAACCTAATCACTTAAAAATACTTACATTGAAAAAAAATGCTTATTTCACTCTCAATGAATAGGTCACGGGGGGGTGCGTGCTTCGGGGCTCTCCCCGGCCACTCCCGGGGGGCTGAGCAGGCACCCCGTGCAGTCGGCTCACTGCCCAGCGACCCCATGTCGGCTGCACTGGCCATGCTGCCAGCCGGGAGTCGATGCTGAGCCAGGTTTCTTGCTGCGCAGGCGACGCCACTGTCGGTGCTGAGCTCGCAGGGCCCCAGGCCACAGCCCAGTCACGGCACATGGGGCAAGCGGGGAGCAGGTGCTTCTCCACCGTGACCGGGCTGTGGCCGGACGGAGCCTCCATTAGCGGGAAGGTCATGAGTCCAAACCGTTGCTCGGAGCTGCGGCCCGACGTCAGAGAGGAGGGTAGCCCAGCTTCTCCTGGTCATGCCACTCCCCACCAGTCAGAATCGGGGGTCAGTCCCTCCCAGGCCGGGGCCACCTGTGCAGACATGCAGACACCCAGACGCCTGGACGCCCAGACGGGCTTGTGTGCAGGGGTGCAGAGGTGCGGACACGCAGGCGAGCACGCCAGCGTACACAAGAGAAACACGCCACGGAGCCCAGCGCGACCTCGGATAGACGTGAGAGCTGAGGGCGGCCTGGCGGGCCTTGGAGGACCGTGAGGAGCACCGGGGAGATGGCGCTTGGCCATCATGAAAACCAGGCATGAAAACCAGGCCAAGCTTGGGAACACGCGGACTTGGCCGCTTCAAGTCGGGGGCAGCCGGGAGCGCATCTAGGGTTAGGAGGAGGGGGTGGCAGAGCCCGGAGCCGGAGGGACTGCAGGAGGCCGTGGGGCATGGCGGGACGAGGCCGCGCTGACCCTGCTCCAGGGCGGCGGCAGGTGGAGAGGGGTGTCTCTGCCCTGAGCCCACACTGTGCTGGGGTAGCCCGATTCTATCGCCCCCTGGGGGAAACCTGGTGGTCCCCCCTGGGGGAGTCTGTCAGCCCAGGGCCACTGCCTCCCTGCCGGGCCCCCGTGCAGTGTGTGCGGGTCTGCCTGGCCCTGCCCTGTCCTCCAACTCCAGGCCTCGTGGGAGAACCGAGCAGCCTCTTCGGTCCCGATCTCAGGGCCCCTGCGCACCAACCACAGGCTCCGTTTGGCCACGCGCCCGCCCTGGGGTGTGGGGGGCGGACCCTCTCCTCCCAGCCCGCCTCTCCTGCTTTCTCAGGAATCCCAGGTCAGGAATTCACAAATGTCACCTTCCTGGTCTCCACCTTCCCTCGGAGGACGGATCTTTTCCCTGGACTCCTGATTCTAGGACTCCTGATTCTCCATGTCCGTAGGCGTGGGGGCGGGCGAGGGGGTGCCGGGCCGTGTGCAGAGAAGGTCACGTGTGCCCGGGAGTGAACGCCATTCCCCGGCCCTGGTCTCCGCACAGGCGCGTGCGCGTTCCCACCATGATTAGAGTTTCAGAGCTCCAGCCGCCGAGATCAAAGACCCCTGGTTATTTAATCACAGCCCAGCTCCCGTCCACGCGGCTAATGAGGGGAGGCGCCCTGTGAGCCTGTTAAACACGAACAGACGAGGTGTAGACGGCGCTCCGGAGGGGCCCATCCTCCGCCGGCCCCTTCAGGGGTGATCAGGACCAACTAACAGGTCTCTTTCAGGTCTGATTTATGTGATTCTAACGATAGTCATCTCCGCCTGTGGGGCCCCCCCTCCAGCATCGTGTGCGGGGCTCCCCACCCCAACCCCTCTCCACGGCAGGCCTCTCTGCTCTCTTCTTGAACTTTGATGCCAATCCTCTTGGAGACACGTCAAACTTGCAGACTTCCCCGAAGCAGCAGCTCTCCACCGTGAGCAGAGAAGGGAGGCCCAAGAGACGGGCCTTCCTGGGAGGCGCAGGCGACAGCTTGGGACGGAGCGGAGGGACGCGAGGGGCGCTGGCCATGCGTCGGGTCCCAGGGAATCCTGACTGTTCTGGGCTGCGCTGCATCTGCTGTGCACATGCGTGAAACCCCCAGGCGCCTGCCGTGATGACACCAAGGGGGAGCGCGTCTGGGGGACTTGGCTCGTCTTCTGCCTCCAGTGAAATCCAGCAGATTTCGAGTGATCCAGAGGGAGCCTCTGAGAGAACAGCGCAGGCCTGGAGCTCCCGGGTGGGCGCGGAGCTGGGCCGGGCCTGCAGGAGGCCTGTCCGAGCTTGGCTCCTGCTGGGCAGAGACGCTTGGCTCCAGAGAGCATGCTCTGGGCACCATCTGCAGCCAGGACAGCTGGTCTTTGCTCCTCTCAGCAAACAGCAGAGGACAGAGTGGGAGGAAGCCGGGGCCCCAGCGCTCACCCTGGACAGGATGCCGGCTGGCTGGGGCCGTGGCCGTCTGAGGGTGTGGCGGGAGAAGGGACAGGTTGGACGAGGCGGCGGCCTGTCTGTGGGGGCGCCTGTTTTTAACTTGTGGAGTTTTGAAACCCACTGCCAGGCGGTCAGGCACGCTCTGTTTTGCCTGCACTGTCTTTGTTTCTATTCCCCGGCCTCCTCTCCCGCAGAGGCGCGCCCTGGTCCAGCGGGCTTGGTTTTCTCAAAAGATTTAAGTGGCGGCGGCGGGTGGGCACATAAATATGCAGCCGTGAGAACCCACACTCATCAGACCATTTCCCTGCGTCGTTTGCATATTGTGGCTCATAACAGATGAAATTAGCTCGACAGGCAATCTTCCATGCAGCTTCCTCCCTGGAGACATTTCTGGCCGTATCCTGGATGACGTGCATTTTATTACACAAAGACGCTGCGTCCAGAAGGATGTGCTTGTCCAAAGAAAGTGTCTCCTGACGGTTGAAAAAGGCAACAACTCGAAGAACCCTGAAAAATAGCTCCAAGTGTGTTCTAAGGGCGGTGCGGGTGCTCGACCGGGAGGGCAGCCTGTGGCGGCGGCAAAGACGGTGCGCACGCAGCGGCTGGAATTATGCATGTCACTCACGGCGCACCTCATTATACGGGGCCGCCTTCCATTATGGGGCTCTGTAGTTTACAATCTTATTGCTATTCAGCCTCCAACACTGACAAAGAGGCCCCTCCCCAGCCGCAGCTAATCTCCCCAACGCTGGCGTTTGGCTGGGCGCGCGGCCTCCCAGCCGTCCCTGCCTGCGGCTCCACCCGGCGGTGTGTCCCCTCGCCCTTCACCCCAGTGTCTCCCCTGCACTTCCCCAAGAAAAATGAAAGACTCCCGCGCACGGCCGGGCATCCGAGGACCCCGCCGGCCGTCGACCCGGCACCGTTGTGGACCGCGGCGTGGCCACCTTGCGGCCATCGCAGGCGCCCTTGCAAGGGCAGCTGCCCGCCAGGGCCCCCAGCTGGCCGTGGGCTCGGCTCCCTGTCTCACGGGACGGGCCACCCCCGACCCTTGTTCTACATGTTTTTGTTACTTTACCCTAAATCCAGGGGGGAGCTGCGCGCTGCACGCACACTTTGAGGCCTCCTGGCTGTTCTCAGCACAAACTCACGGCTCCCAGGCGGCCGTCCTCAAGGCCAGAGTGCCGGGCCACGCTGGGCTCTCCATCGGCTGCCGCGCCTGGGTCCCGTGCCTGCTGGACAGGCCTCCTGGGCTGTTCCTCAACCCCTGTACTTGCGTGGCGGACAAACGTGTCCTGTCAGGGGCTGCCAAGCCACTGAAAAGAAACAGAAAAATAAAAAAGGGCCCTGGTTCCAGAGGAGGCCCCTGGCCGGGTGTGAGGCGCGGGTGTAGGCCAGGGGAATGGTGCCAGCAGCGGTGACCACGGCCCTGAGGGCCACGGGTGCCGGGTTCCCCCTGCGCCTCTCCCCACCCCTCCTCTGACATCTCCTCCCTCCCGCGCCCTGTGGCCCTCTGGGCCAGCCTGCACCCCGGGAGCCCTGCTCTGCCGCGGTCCTGGCCGGGGGGCTCATGGCCATGGTCAGTGGCCCAGGCTGGCTTCTCCGGGCAGTGCCGCCCGCCCTCCTCTGCCGAGCCTGTGTGTGCTGTGGGGCTCCCAGCTGCGCCCTGCCGGGTCCGCGGTCACTCACACGGCTTGTCTTCTCTCATCTGCCCTTGGGTGGCAGCAGTGAGAGGTGGGTGGACGCTGCTGCGGCGGGACAAGGGCAGGGAGGGCGAGGAGGAGGGTCAGGCGTGGGCGAGGCCAGGATGCACCAAGGGGCGTCAGACACAGACGGGGTGCCCGCCTGGAGCCCAGCCCAGGACAGGCCTCCGCGCCTCCTGCTCCTGGGAAGGACTCGTCACAGGACGCTGGTGTCCAGAGAGGATGAAGGACCAGCGCAGGGGGCCGGGAGCAGCGAGGGCGCGAGCCGGGGTAGGCCCCAGGGTGCAGGGCGCCTGCCCAGGGGAGCGTCCTCAGGGGCCCTCCCGCCGGGAAGCGGGCGGTGCCGGGAGCCTGCAGCGCTGAGGAGCTGCACTCGCTTTCAGCAGCGATGTTCATCCCCACCTGGCACAGGCTCTGCCCAGAGGGCAGGAGGGAGCGGGGAGAGCAGGGGGCAGGAGAAGGCGCAGAGGGTACCTGGGAGCTGCCTGCACCATGGCAGCCACCATCCACGGGGCACTGCGCCAGCCCCTCACTCAGCCCTGCGGCCACACGAAGATCGCCAGCGGTGCTTGAAAATGCGCCCTGACTGGAGGTGGACGGGCCCAGTGACCCTGCAGGGGGGAGGCTCGGACCTGGTGCCGGGCCTGGAGCTCAGAGCGTTTACCTGGGCGCTCTCCTGGTGTGACCATGAACGAGCTGCTCGTGGGACTGTGTTTATGCCACAGAAGCGAGCCCAAGGCCTGGAGTGGACACGGCACACACGAGCAGAGCTGGGGCCACAGAAAGCATCCGGGTGGACCCCTGGGTGGACCCGGGATTCAGCCTGGGTGCACCTGGAGCCTGGCCCTTCTGCTCCTCCCAAACCACCCTCACCTGTTTGCCACAAGCCGGCAGGAAGGGGCGGGGCCTCGGCGAGCAGGTGCACCAGGGCGCTCAGCTTCCTTAGCCTGGAAACATTCTTATCAAAGTTGTTGATAAAGCAGACGAAGCTATTCAGGACCCACCACCGGGCCGTTTAGTAGTTAGCAGTTACTGAGTATTTTAGACACTACGCTAATTAATAAAACCTGCTATCAAAGGAGTGTTTGTTGAAAGTGTGGGAAGCCCTGTAATCAGAAGCCTCTTTTTAATCGAGGAAAGTTTGCTCCTTTTGAAAAAATCATAACACTCGAGGCAGCAAAAGTTCAATCGTGATTGTTCACAGGCGTCACATACCCGTGCTGATACTTCCACGACACGCGGTGCTGGGAAAAGTCATGTTTGCTGGTGACTTGGGGAACTGTGAGGAATGTCTTCTTAAACAAATCTTCTTCTTGGGGCATGAGGTAAATCATTTAAAGAGAAAGATTTACCATAAAACCTTACGGGATTTTGTCTAGGTGCTATCAAGATAAACCTGTAGAGAAAAATCCAGCGTTTTAGTCAACATTAAGAAGTATTTGTCACATTTAAATGGGTGGGAGTGGATAAAAGATACAAATTAAGTCAATTAACCACCAGTTCTGATAAATCTCGTATTGGTATGTGCCAAATAAACACCAGAGAAAATTAAATGACCTGCCCGAAGAGAGAAAACTGGAAAGAATATCTGCAAGCCAACGAAGTGTAAAGACACTAGAGTTGCAAAGATACTTTGAAAATACATCAAAATTCATATTCACTTTAATTGACAGTGGAAAGTTTCACATCTAACATGACGCTGCTTAACAGGAATTGAAGATGGAAACAACTTTTTGAGATTGGATTCTAAGAAAACACTGGAAAGATGTGACTCTTTGACTTGGCCACAGAGACACGTTTTCAGCTTTAGGTTGGTCTTCCTGCAAGTCTCCTTGGTTGAAAGTGATGTAATTAATAAAATCAAGTCAACAAGTGAACAACACAGCCCAAGAAATGATACGTGTGGCTTTGATAACAGATATTTAAATACACAGACCTCAGGCTACGTCGTGGAGGCTGGAGATGGTCTGAGTCTAGCTGTTATTGGTGCAGAGACCCTGCCCGGCCTCTGGCTGTGGGGCAGGCCACGTGGGCGGTGCTGGGACCCTCTGACCGTAGGTCGCTGCCTCGGCCGTCAGCAGAGTGGTCTCGGGAGTCTCTGGCGCGAGTGTCCGTGCCCAGTGTTGGCACAGGGGGCCACTCTCGCCTACTGCTGTGTCGGGGGCTGCCGGAAGCCACCCGAGACGACCAGGGGAACTGGGAAGTCAGGGGCTGGAGGGGGGGATGCTGGGTGAGCCACGTGGTGGACATCTAAGAGGCCCGTGTCATGTAATTCAGGCAGCTGGTGGACAAAG